GCTGTATGTATTACGAGCTCTGCACATCAGGAGCCGGGCTCGTTCAGAAACCCTAAAGATGGGCATTTAGTGATAACTGGAGCAAAGGAGACTAGGTAAGCTTTTGAACCAAACAAATATCTTCGTCAGGGAGGTAACCATTAAGAGATTCCTTTGCCCGCAGTATTTTTTGGTTGGGAATCCCCACTTCTTTCTATAGGGCAGGAAAATAAGCAGTGGCGTTTGGAACGCCTCTTTTAAGCACATGGTCAGTCACCTGTTGCAACTGAGTAGCATCTCCCTTGAATTAGGAACCTCCCAGTTACTGTTGACATTAATTCACACACACACCCAAAATATCGGTTTCACCCTCAATCCATCGTGGGTTTTCAAAAAGCGCCTGTCCTCCTTCCGCCCAAGAATTATCCTCTAATTTATCAACACGTCCATGTTGAATCCTTTAGTTCAATAGGCATAAAATTTCCAAGCATATCACTTAGAAAGGGGAGAACATTAACCCATTCCTCCCTGTACTTGAGAATTATTCCCCATGAGCGTCTCTATCTGGCCAACTTATTGTGCGACTGTATGCAATTAAGCCTACAACCCCAGGCTTGCTTACCATTGCAGCCAGATCCATTGACCTCAATGGGGATTACTTATGAGTAGACATGTATAGAGATATGCATTGCACATGGGCCTACATTTGCATGTCAAAAGCACAAATCCCTTAGTGTAAAAAGATACATCTTCATATTAATTATACTTCAGCATAATACAGCAACATTATTATTATTTTAAAAAAAATCACTGTGACAGATGCTTTTAAAATATGCTAGAATTTTTGCACTGTCAGAGGCTTTTAACTGGTGTAAATATGTTCCATGGGACTTCAGTGTGCTTAAAATTGCAGGCTTTATCTTGAATACGTATCCAACATCCACTTTGTTTCTAAGAATCTCTCTGCCCCCCATCCATTATTTGCATAGTGCTTTAGTTTCTTTGTGTATCATAATTAATGGGATTAGCTGCGACGGAGCTATAAATATATTGAGGATGCCCCGGTCCCATAGCAAGCAGATGATGTCTCTGATTCAGGCAACTCCTATATGTATTTACCAACTCTTTAGAGCTGAAACGTTAACGTTTAACTCTTGAATTTGGGAATGAATGGGAGAAAGAACGCCAGCATTAATTCAATCACTCGTCGCTGATACATTTAGAACAAGTTGGAT